TTGCAATCGGCAAAAATAATGTTCGGGTTTTTGCCGCCGAGTTCTAACGAAAGTTTTTTGAATTTCGGCGCGGCTTCACGCGCAATCCATTCGCCTGTCGCCGTTCCGCCCGTGAATGAAATCGCTTTTACGTCTTTGTTTGTCACGATTGCCGCGCCCGTTTTGGTTCCGAGTCCGTGAACGATATTTAAAACGCCGTCAGGCAAGCCGGCTTCGATGCAGAGTTTTGAAAGCAGATAAGCCGTCATCGGCGTAATTTCAGAAGGTTTGGCGACGACGCAACAGCCTGCCGCAAGCGCGGGCGCGATCTTCCACGAAAAAAGATAAAGCGGAAGATTCCAAGGGCTGATACAGCCAACCACACCGAGCGGTTGGCGAAGCGTGTAATTTATCGCTTGTCCCGTCGTTTCGTGTGATTCGGACGCAAAATGCATCGCGGCGGTCGCGTAAAATTTGAAATTTGAAACCGCGCGCGGAATATCGACCGTTTTCGCCAGACTTTTCGGCTTGCCGTTGTCGATACTTTCGGCTTCTGCAAGCAAATCCAGATCGCGTTCGATCAAAGCTGAAACGCGCATCAATATGTCGTGACGGGCTTCGGCAGGCATTTTCGACCAAACGGGAAATGCTTTTTTTGCGGCTTCGACCGCCGCTTCGACATCGCGTTCGTCCGAATCGGGAATTAATGAGTAAACTTCACCCGTTGCCGGATTGAAGTTATCGAGATAGTTGTCGGAAACGGGTTTGACCAGATTTCCGCCGATGTAGTTTTCGATTTTCAGCATTGTAAAATTATGAGTATCTTACAATTTTTTTGAATGGTTATAAAATCAAAATTTTTCATCGAGCAATTGACGGACTTTGCGGGCGAGCGCGTCGAAGGTAAAAGGCTTTTGCAGAAAATTTGCGCCTTCGTTGATTACGCCGTGCCGCACGATCGCGTCATCCGTGTATCCCGAAGTAAATAAAATCTTTATTTTGGGATAGAGTTTAATCAACTTTTCCGACAGCTCGCGTCCGCCCATTTCAGGCATCACGACATCGGTGAGCAAAAGATCGAATTGAATCAATGTTCTTTCACAAAGTTTCAATGCTTCTACGCCGTTCGACGCTTCGATCACACGATAACCGCAGGCTTGGAGAACCTGACGGCTCAAATTTCTGACCATTTTTTCGTCTTCGACCAAAAGAATCGTTTCATTGCCGAGATAAATGCCGCTCGAAGGTGAATCGCTTTCTTTTTCAAGATATTCTTCATCGATTCTCGGCAAGTATATTTTGAAGGTCGAACCTTGCCCGATCTCG